TCAGTCTTCAACTCAAAGGCGTCTGCGAATCACCTGCGAGATCTTCTGGTCGAAGAGCAACAGCTTGCTAGGGCACAACCTTAGGCATGTCCTCGCGGATTTCTTGGGTCGGTGGTGGACCCTCCTGGCTGAGCATCCGGCGTCGTCCCTGGTGCGCTCCGCGCGCCAGGGAAGGGAGTCCAGCACCGATCCAAGAGATCCGCGCAGACCTCCGAAAGCTTAATCACACGTCGGTCGTATTTTTCTGGACTGCCAAATCCCAGTCTGCTCATAGCGCCTTCCTACTTCGAGAATCGATACGCCTTTGCTGTGTTGTGTTACTCTCTGGGATGGGCTGGACTGGACTGGACCCAATCTATTGTATCCGGCTTCCTACTTCATGTTTCTACCAATTTCTTCCGACCGACGTGAATGCTCGCATATGTATATCTTACCTTACCTGGTTGACCCAGGCTGTGCGAGCAACGTGAGGCCGACCTCCCATGCCCTCCCCTCCGTTGGACGCGGATTACGGAGCGACTTCGTGGACCTCCAGTGTTCGATCCGTGGCATTGGTTGGCCCAGGTTTGCGTTGGCCCCAGTTAGTCGGCGGAGAGCAAGGGGGGGAAGTGAGAACGAGAAGGCCTTCTCAGAAAGTGGGTTCCGACAACGACATTGGGCGTTCCGACGGCGCCGCCGCGTCGTCGGCGTCGCCGTCGCCGAGGATCGAGGATCGAGAATCGAGAATCGAGGTGTGTGGATGGTTCAGGTATGTTTGCAAGTTTTTTGGCGTGGTTCGGAATGGCTTCGGTATTGTTTGGAGGTCGCCATGGTCGTCGGAGATCGAGGTTTACGGGGCGCTCTTTGAGACGTCTTCGTCGTCGTCGTCGAGTACCAATTCTGGATGGCTTCTGGCCTCCCAGGGACGAGGGAAAGTCTCGGCCAGGCGAAAATCGGCCAGGCTGAACTCGGCCAGGCTGAACTCGGCCAGCCTGAGCCTGGCCCGGGCTGAATTCAGGCTGATCGAGTTCAGCCTGGCTGATGTCAGCAGGCCGAGCTCAGCCTGGCCGAGTTCAGATGGCCGAGCTTAGATTGACCAGGTTTTTCCTGGCCGAGTTTAGTTGCTGCCCCAGTGACCCCCTGGACGCCTACAGAGACCCGCGCGGGCCTCCCCAGGCTGGCCTCTCGCCTCCGCAGTGCGCAGCGGCGGCCCCCAGAGGCGTTCGGAGGGCATCTGCGCCGGCGGCGGCGTCGGGGGCGTTTTTGCCGGCTGCACGCCAGGGTGGCTACAGCCGTGTTTTGCTCAGCTTTGAATTTTGACGTGGTCTGTGGGGCCCGAGCAGGGCACCGCGCCCGCGCGCGCAAAGAGAATCCGCTTTCTTGAGAGACCTCAAAGCAGTCCGAGCATCCCCCCCCCGCAATCCGAACGGAGGACCGAGTCGCGGGATTCCAGGATCGCCCCCAGCTATTGATATACAGCAAAATCCAGACGTAAAAAACAATGGTGTTCAAAATCCCGCACCATTGCACAGAGGTCCCGCGAAGTCCCGAGCCCCGCATCACGTCATCATGAAGCCTTCGGAGCGCTGACGAGGGCCCGCCGTCGACACTCATCATCATCCCCGACATTGGCCGCCCTCCTTGTTGTCCCATTGCAGCGAGATTTGGCTCAAGTTCACCCTGCCGGCATCGCGCCTGCCTCGCTCGCAAGGGTGGAGTTTGCGCTTGACCGGGCGAAGGGAACCCTCGTGTCCCTCTTGCGCACGCAGGCGGCGGTGTACGCGCGCGCCGTGGACTGTGGACATCAGCCAGGCGAGCCATGACTCCTGAATGATTCCTGGGAACCCACGTTTAGTGGATGTTGAGGCCCGGGCTTGAGAGCTTCAACAAAACTTTACGTTGACCGAGGCCCCTGGGCGACACTGAGGACACCTATCATCATCTGCAGCACGAGCTGGTGAATTTCAAGCTGAAGTAGATAAGCGGTTTTAACAGGGCTGTGCGGGTCTGCTACCACATGGCACGCCCCATCGAAAAGGCCCGGCCTTCGAGGATCGAGGCTTCTGGATGTCACCTGGCCTCCCAGTGACTTTCCCGGAGGCCCAGAGAGACCCGAAAGGGCTCCCCCATGGCTCTCCAAGTGGCATCCGGTTGGCCTCTCATTCCGCCGGTGCGCGGCCGCGGCCCCTGGAAGTGCTCGGAGGGCGTCAGCGCCGGCAGCGGCGTCGGCGGCGCGTTCGTCGGTTACACGTCAGGGTGATTAAGAAGGCCACGCGGGTCCGCTACCACACGGGCGACGCAAGAAGCGCATCCAATTGCGCGGACATTCGCGCGCAAGCTTCCCGCGCAAGGCCGCGCGTAAAAGCCTTTTTCCTCCACGCGGTGCGCCACGCTGGCGGCCCGCGTAAGCCGACGCGCGCGCAAAATCGTTATATCGTTTCGTGTAAGGCCCGTTGGTTCTCGCCGCTCATACGCCACGTTCCGGGAAGGGGCCCGCCTTCGAGGAATCAGGAAGTTGGCATCTTTTCACATCTCTTCCCTAGCGGGAGGCCGGCGGAAGTCAAACGAGGAGGTTTCCGTCGACGGAAGTTGGCGGAATTTGTCGGGAATAGAAATATCCCCCCCAAAGACGGCAGCATATTGGATCCATGGTTTCTGGCACGGCCCATGTGATATGCTAGCAGAGGCTTCCCTTACAGAGGGCGCACATCAGAGTTGGCTCTAACATTCCAAGCCCATCTGGAAAACTTCTGGTTGCCAGTCTTTTGCTTGGTGGGTGCTATATTATTTATATGGAGGTTGGGGGGGTGATATGAAACGTAAACATACGACTTGGCAAAACAAGACACCATAGCAACGCATTTGTCGGCTACACGTCAGGATGGTTCCGAATGCGATGTGGGTCTGCTACCATACTTCGCTTTCCAGAAGAAGACCCAGGAGGTCGGCGCCTCTTCCCCGACGGACGGCTGGCGGAAGTCAAACGAGAACGCCTCCGCAAGAGATGGAAACATGTTGGACCCAGCGTGTTTGCAATGGCCCATACGATGTGCTAGCAGCGATTCCCCTTGCACCTGGGCACACGTCAGAATTTGTTCAGAGGCCGCAAGCCAATGTGGAACACGGGTGGCACTCCGCATTTGTTTGACTGACTAGGCGTTTGTTTCGTTTGGACGTGGGGACGATGAATAATGCGAAGATGAAGAAGAAGAAGAAGAAGAAGGAGACACTACAGCCAGACGAATGTGATGAGGAGGAGGAGGAAGAGGAGGAGGAGGAACTAAAAAGAGGAGGAGAAAACGGAGGACAGAGGAGGATAGGGAAGAGAAGAAGGAGGAGGAGGAGGAGGAGGAGGAGGAAGGAGAAAGAGGAGGAGGGGAGGAGGAGGAAAAAAGGGGGCGGAGGAGGAAAGGGAGGAAGAGAAGGAGGAGGAGAAGGAAAGAAACAGATAAAGGGAAAGAAGACGGGGGAGGAGAAGTAGGAGGAGGAAGGGGAGTAGGAAGAAAAAAAGAGGAGGGAGAAGAATGAGCAGGACTAGGAGGAGCAGGATGATTATGATGATGTTGATGATGATGATGATGACGATGACGATGACGATAACGATGATGATGATGATGATGATGATGATGATGATGATGATGATGATGATGATGATGATGATGATGATGATGATGATGATGATGATGATGATGATGATGATGATGATGATGATGATGATGATGATGATGATGATGATGATGATGATGATGATGATGATGATGATGATGATGATGATGATGATGATGATGATGATGACGGCTCCTGGAGGAAAATTGGTGACTTCACCACAACGAAACGAAAGCTGGACTCCACCCTTACACGAGGACCCAGGTCCCTCTCCGCCGAAGGGCGCGCATATCGTCCACCCCGGGTTTTTCTATACAGGGGCCGTGCCGCCTTCCCGTAATGGGGTCTGGGGGGAGGCCACGGAGGGTTTCGAAGGGGTTGCACAGCACCAGTTTAGTGCCAACACGCACCACAGGCGCACAGCGCCATGACGCACTGCGTCAGATCGGGCAGCGAACCATTGGGAAAGACAGACACACAAAAAAAAAATGCACCCCGCGTCGCTTCTGCCACGGGGATGAGGCGAAGGACACAACCACCAGGGCTCAAACCTGGCTGCGAGGACCCGCGTCGCTTCCGCCCTTACGCCTGCGGCAATGAGCGTTCCGACCAAGGTGGTTGAAGGCCGTATGCCGCGGGCCCCGCCTCCGTAACGTCATCGGCGGTACACCTCAGAGATCAACGAAAATGGACCCCGTACTGAGGTGTTGCTGAGACCAGGCGCGCCTTCCCAGCAGCACCTCAGCACCTCACGTTGCCCTTCCATCACCCCCGAAGTGGGGGATAGGAACGGGCAACGGGGGCGGACGGATCACTGTCGCCAACATCAACCTGGAGGTGCCCCGTGGAGGAGGCGAAGGACCCAACAACCAGGGCTCAAACCTGGCTGCGAGGACCCGGAAGGGGTTGGAAGCGCGGGGGTGGGAAGGCCACTCTCCGGCCTATGGTGCGCACATCGTCCACCCCTGGGCTTTTCAACCCTGGGGCCGTGCCGCCTTCCCTTTCACAGGGGGTCCGAAGGGAAGAGGGCGGAGGGTCGTCCTGGCTCACGCCGTGACAGCGCTCGCCCCCAGGAGGGGAAGGGTGGGGGGAGGGGAGGGGACGTGCCTCAGCCCACAGGGATCATCGGCAGTACATCTCATTCGGGAGGTGCTACACGGCACCCAGGCTGTACCGCTTGGCCGCGGTGGCAGGGAATTTACAAAATACCCTGGCCTGACGGCCAGCAGGAGGAGGAGCAGGAGGAGGACAGGGAGGAGGAGGGAAGAGGAGAAACAGGGGAGGGAGAAACAGGAAAAGGAGGAGGAGGAGGAGGGGGAGGGAGGGACGAGGAGGAGGACGAGGCTGAAGAAGGGGAAAAACAGATAAGCGGGAGGACCTCGTGCCTCCCCTCCCTGCAGCCAGCTTGGCTCGAGGACCGCCGCGGCCCCCCCACGCGCGCGCAAGGGCTTTGCGCGCAACACGCCGCGAGCAGCGAGTGAGGCCCCCCCGCGTTCCGCGGGCGGGGACGGCGCCATGGAGGGCCTTCCGTCCGTGGACCGCGCGGCGCAGATCGGACAGGACTCAGACCTCCACACCGTACGAGATGGCTCCAGTTGGTGCGAATGGCTGGTTTTGATTTCGACCTCGTTCCTGGCGCAGCGCATTCGATTATGGTTCCGGTCCGAAGGGTTGTTAGGTTTCCGGTTTTGGTCTGATCCGATGCGCAGTTTTCTTCTTTCCCCCAGTCTGGTTTGTCGCCGATTCGATTTCGAGTTTCCGATTCTGTGTATTCTGCGCAGTCACAACAGCAGAAACAGCACAAGCAGAAGAGGCCTTAAACAGCAAACACCACCATTCACCGCAACCACTTACTAATACCAGACTTGCAAAACAACAATGTATGCATGTGTACAGATATACATGTGTGCACAACAGTAAATACATGTATGAGCATACATACACATGTGTATATATATACACACTCACACACTCGGGATACATGATGTCTGGTAGTACACATTCTTCCTGCGACCTCCATGCCGAGTTTGAAGCTTGTTGGACGGTCTTGGCCCTCGGTGAACGTTTTGGTGGCTTGGACGCTCGGATCGGCCGGGTCCAAATCTTACGTTTTTGTTATTGTTGCCCCAGGGGCCGCCAGAGGGGCCGCTAGAGGTCTCTGCAGGCCTCTGGGGATCTCTGGATCTCGGCGGGACCTCCAGAGTCCTCCAGAGACCGCGGGGACTTCCAGAGGCCTCTGCACTGGAGGCCCCCGCAGGGAACTCCAGCGGGATCCAGGTCAGCCACGCGCAGAGGGTGGTAGGGGAGCGGGGAAGGCTTCTTAGAAGCACCCCTGCTTCTTAGAAGGCGCTGGCCATGTCTATAGATTTAGGGCCGGCGCCTTCTGAGAAGCAGCCTCGTTCTAAGAAGCTTTTCCCCCTTCCCTCTGGTTACCCCCTTCTGTGCGCCGCCACCCAGGGACCTCTGGGAGACCTCGGGGCGCTTCCAAAGGCCTCCGCGAGGAGCTGCGTTTTTGTTTCGGGTTGAAAGGGTTTTTTTTTCGGGTTGGCGCGCTGCGGAGGCCCCAACCCGAAAAAAAAAAAAACGAAAAAAAACCGGATGGCGAGTTTTTTAATGGGTTGGGAGGGTTTTTTTTCGGGTTGAGAGGGTTTTTTGGGGGGTTGGGTCTTTTTCCGGGTTGTAGTGGTTTTTTTTCGAGTTGGGCTGCGGAAATTGGAGGATTCAGGGGAGGAGCTCTCGTAGTGCCTCGTCGTCGTCGTCGTCGTCGTTGTCGTTCGCCGTCGCCGTCGCCGTTGCCGTTGCCGTCGCCGTCGCCGGCGCCGTCGCCGTCGCAGTTGCCGTTGCCGCTGCAGTCCAAAGTGAACCACAGTGGGCAAGGAGAGGAGGGTGGTCAGGGTGTTGAGCTCTTTTGGATATCATTTTGGAGCATGTTGGCGTGTAATACATTAGTTGCAACACAACGCAATACAATTCTCCAGCGCAAATCGTTTGCAATACAATTGCCCCAAATCTATTGCACCACCCCCTTGCAGCTGGACCCCCTTTCGGGTCGCCCAGGTGAGCATGAAACCCAAGAGCCCAGGAAACCAGGATCCCAGGAACCGATGGACGCAGGTCCTGGATTCTTGGATTCTTGGATTTAAGCGTAAGAATTCAGAAACCCAGGAAATCAGGAACCCAGGAACTCAGGAATCAGGAACCCAAGAACCCGGGAACGCAGGAACCCAGGAACCGAGAAACCCAAGAACCCAGAGACTCAGGAACGCAGGAACCCAAGGATCGAGGAATTCAGGAACCCAAACCCAAGAATACAGGAACCCAGGGATCAAGGAACCCAAGAACTCAGGAACCCAGGAGCCCAAGAACGCAGAATCTCAGGATCCCCAAACTCAAGCACCGAAGGACCCAGGAATTCAAGAACCCAGGAACCCAAGACCGCAGGAACTCAGGAACCTAGGAACCCGAGAACCCAGGAATCCAAACTCAAGAACCCAAGAACCTGGGAGCCCAGGAACCCAGGAAGCCCAGGAACCCAGGAACTCCAGAATTCAGGAATCGAGGAACCGAAGAACCCAGGAACCCAGGAGAGCAGGAAGTCAGGAACCCAAGAACCCAAGATCTCAGGAAGCCAGGAACCCAGGAACCTAAGGACTCAGGAAGCCAGGAACCCAGGAACCTAAGGACTCAGGAACCCAGGAACACACGAACCCAGGAACTCCGGAACCCAGGAAGCTAAGAAACCCAGGAACCCAGGAGAGCAGGAACTCAGGGACCCAAGAACTCGAGAACTCAGGAAACCAGGAATCCAGGAACCCCGGAACCTAAGAACCCAGGACCTCAGGAACCCACAAACCCAGGAACCCAAGAACCCAGGAAGCCAGGCACCCAGGAACCAATGAACCCAAGAACCCAGGGACTCAGGAACACAGGAACAGGGAACCCAAACCCAAGGACCTCGGAACGCAGGAACCCAGGAATCGAAGAACCAAGGAACTCAGGAACTGAGGAACGCAGGAACCCCAGACCCAAAAACCCAAGAACCCAGGAATCCAGGGACCCAAGATCCCAGGAACTCAGGACTCAGGAACCCAAGAACCGAGGAATCCAGGAACTCGCAAACCCAAGCACCCAGGAGCCCAGAAAACAAAGATCCAGGAACCCAAGAACCCAGGAACTCAGGATTCCAGGGAAACCAAGAACCCAGAAAGTCCGGAAGTCCAAACCCAAGAACCCAAAAGCCCAGGAACCCAGGAACCCAAGAGCGCAGGAACCCAGGAACCCACGAACCCAGGAACTGGGGAACCCAAGAACCCAGGAACCCAGGAACACAGGAACCAAAAAACCCAGGAACCCAAGAACCCAGGAACCCTTGAACTCAGGAACCCACGATAACCTCAGAACCCAAGAACGCAGGAACCAGGGATCGCAGAAACCAAAAAAAGCAGGACCCAGAACATCAGGAACCAAGGAAGTGAGGAACCGAAGAACCCAAGAACCCAGGAAGCCACGAACCCGGCAACTCTGGACATCGGGAACATAGCCACCCAGGAACCCAAGAAAGCAGGAACCGAGGATTGCAGGATCCCAGGAACCCACACACTTAGGGACACGAGATTCAAGGAACCCAGGAGCCCAAAAGCCAAGGAACCCAGGAACATCAAATGCAAGAACTCAGGGTACCGGGACCTGAGGGACCCAGGAACCCAGCCACGCCAAACCAACGAACCTTTGAGGAGGAGATGGAGGAGGAGGAGGAGGAGGAGGAGGAGGAGGAGGAGGAGGAGGAGGAGAAGGAGGAGGCGGAGGACGAGGGGGAGGGGGAGGAGGAGGAGGAACAGGAGGAGGAAGAGGAGGAGGAGGAACATGGGGTGAAGGGGGAGGGGGCGAAGCGGGCACATGTCGGTCCCCGGGAGCACAGGAATGAACCCACGGCGCGAAATCAAGATCGAGGATGGCTCCGAGAGCTGCTTGGGAATTCCAAGGGCGGATGTCGGGGCTGGGTCCTCACGGGCGGGCGGGTCGGGCGGCGGGCGGGCGGCGGGCCAAGCGGGCGGGACATTCAAGTATAACGTATATGCACCTGATAACGCATGTACCATGTGACATGCGTGGAACCCGAACGGACGAAAAACGGATCGGGCAGGCGGGGCTTTAACGGGCGGGCGCGGCAGGCGGCTGGCGGGGCCCGAACGGGGCGGGCGGGCGAGCGGGTCGGGCGGGCGGGACATTGAAAGTATGGCGCAGATGCAAAGTATGACGCGTGTGCCAGGTGGCACGCGTGGAACCATAATGGGCGGGCGGCGGATTGAGCGGGCGACATGCAAGCAAGACGCATGTGCGCAGTTTGACGCATGTACCAGGTGGCGCGCGTGGAACCCTGACGGGCTGGCGGCGGATCGTGCGGGCGAGACCCTAACGGCCGAGCGGGTCGGGCGGCGGGCCCTCGCGGGCGGACTCGGACGGGCGGGACATTAAAGTAGGACGCATGTACACAGTATGGCGCATGTACCGAGTTGCGCGCGTGGAACCCTCACGGGCGGGTGGCGGGTAACGCACGCGGGAACCCTGACGGGCGGGCGGATCGCGCGGCGGGCGAGCGGCGAGTCAGGCGGGCGGGACGTTAAAGTACAACGCGTATACACCTGATGACGCATGTACCAAGTGGCACGCATGGAACCCTCCCGGGCGAAAAGCGGGTCGGGCAGGCGGGACCCTAACGGGCGGGCGGGTCAGGCTGCGGGCGGGACCATCACGGGCGGGCGGGTGGCGGGTCGGGCGGGCGGGACATGAAAGTATGGCGCAGATGCCAAGTATGACGCATGTACCAGGTCGCACGCGTGGAACCATCACGGTCGGGCTGCGGGTCGAGCAAGCGGACACTAATGGGCGAGTGGGTCGGACGGGCGGCGGGTCGAGCGGGCGGGACATTAAAGTAGGACGCATGTGCACATCATGACGCATGTACCAGGTGGCACGCGTGGAACCCTGACGGGCAGGCGGCGGGCCGTGCGGGCGGGACCCTAACGGCCGGGCGGGTCGGGCGCCGGGCGGGTCTCTGACGGGCGGGGTCGGGCGGGCGGTACATTAAAGTATGACGCATTTACACATTATGACGCATGTACCAAGTGGCACGCGTGGAACCCAGACGGACGTGCGGCGGTTCTGGCAGGCGGGAACCCTGACGGGCGGGCGTCTCGGGCGGCGAACGGGCGGCGGGTCGGGCGGGCAGGACATTGAAGTATGACGCATGTGCACATTATGCACATGTAGGAGGTGGCACGCGTGGAACCCTAACGGGAGAGGAAAGTCCCCGATGAGACCCACAGAGCCTCGGTCCTTCAGGTCCGAAATGTGAACCCGGCATGAACCTCAACATGAGTTCTGGTTCCTCTCTGGAGATCGGACGCACGACTCACCCGGGCCTGTGAGAGCATCTTTGGAGCCATCTTGGAGCATCTCCGACTATCGAGAACAATACTCGACGTCATCTTCGGCTATCTGCGGCTCTCTTGGAGCCGTCTTGGGCGAAAAGGGGCACTCTGACACCTCGCGGGGCGCCCCGCCCAGGTCCAGGGGAAGGGGCAGGGAAGAGGGGTCAACCCCTCCCCGAAGCGGGAGAAGGGGGGTGGAAGAGGAAACTCCCCAAAACCACCCACGCGCTACAGGGTCGGTGGGATGGACACGGTAGGTTTCGCGTCTAGTCGACATGGGGTGCGGTGGGTCGCCCACTCCCTCCGCCTCTCGTCTCCAAGGCAACAATAGCGCTGGCGGAGCCGTTCAAGATTGATCACTCCTCTGGGAAACCGTTCAAGGTTGAACATTCCCCTGGGGAGTGGGCGAGGGGGCGAAGGGGGCACATGTCGGTCCCAGGGAGCACAGGAATGAACCCACGGCGCGAAATCAAGATCGAGGATGGCTCCGAGAGCTGCTTGGGAATTCCAAGGGCGGATGTCGGGGCTGGGCCCTCACGGGCGGGCGGGTCGGGCGGCGGGCGGGCGGCGGGTCGGGCGGGCGGGACATTCAAGTATAATGCATATGCACCTGATAACGCATGTACCATGTGACATGCGTGGAACCCGAACGGGCGAAAAACGGATCGGGCAGGCGGGGCTTTAACGGGCGGGCGCGGCAGGCGGCTGGCGGGGCCCGAACGGGGCGGGCGGGCGAGCGGGTCGGGCAGGCGGGACATTGAAAGTATGGCGCAGATGCAAAGTATGACGCGTATACCAGGTGGCACGCGTGGAACCATAATGGGTGGGCGGCGGGTTGAGCGGGCGAGACTGTAATGGGCGGGCGGCAAGGCAGGCGGCGGGTCCGGCGGGCGGGACATGCAAGTAGGACGCATGTGCGCAGTTTGACGCATGTACCAGGTGGCGCGCGTGGAACCCTGACGGGCTGGCGGCGGGTCGCGCGGGCGAGACACAAACGGCCGAGCGGGTCGGGCGGCGGCCGGGGCCCTCGCGGGCGGACTCGGACGGGCGGGACATTAAAGTAGGACGCATGTACACAGTATGGCGCATGTACCAAGTTGCACGCGTGGAACCCTGACGGGCGGGTGGCGGGTAACGCAGGCGGGAGCCTTGACGGGCGGGCGGATCGTGCGGCGGGCGAGCGGCGGGTCAGGCGGGCGGGACGTTAAAGTACAACGCATATACACCTCATGACGCATGTACCAGGTGGCACGCATGGAACCCTCCCGGGCGAAAAGCGGGTCGGGCAGGCGGGACCCTAACGGGCGGGCGGGTTAGGCTGCGGGCGGGACCATCACGGGCGGGCGGGTTGCGGGTCGGGCGGACGGGACATGAAAGTATGGCGCAGATGCCAAGTATGACGCATGTACCAGGTGGCACGCGTGGAACCATCACGGTCGGGCTGCGGGTCGAGCAAGCGGACACTAATGGGCGAGTGGGTCGGGCGGGCGGCGGGTCGAGCGGGCGGGACATTAAAGTAGGACGCATGTGCACATCATGACGCGTGTACCAGGTGGCACGCGTGGAACCCTGACGGGCAGGCGGCGGGTCGTGCGGGCGGGACCCTAACGGCCGGGCGGGTCGGGCGCCGGGCGGGTCTCTGACGGGCCGGGTCGGGCGGGCGGTACATTAAAGTATGACGCATTTACACATTATGACGCATGTACCAAGTGGCACGCGTGGAACCCAGACGGACGTGCGGCGGTTCTGGCAGGCGGGAACCCTGACGGGCGGGCGGCTCGGGCGGCGAACGGGCGGCGGGTCGGGCGGGCGGGACATTAAAGTATGACGCATGTGCACATTATGCACGTGCAGGAGGTGGCACGCGTGGAACCCTAACGGGCAAAAGGCGGGTCGTGCGGGCGAGACCCTAACGGCCGAGCGGGTCGGGCGGCGGGCGGGGCCCTCGCGGGCGGACTCGAACGGGCGGGACATTAAAGTAGGACGCGTGTACCAAGTTGCACGCGTGGAAGCCTGACGGGCGGGCGGCGGGCAACGCAGGCGGGAGCCCTGACGGCCGGGCGGATCGTGCGGCGGGCGAGCGGCGGGTCAGGCGGGCGGGACGTCAAAGTACAACGCGTATAAACCCTCCCGGGCGAAAAGCGGGTCGGGCAGGCGGGACCCTAACGGGCGGGCGGGTCAGGCTGCGGGCGGGACCATCGCGGGCGGGCGGGTGGCGGGTCGGGCGGGCGGGACATTAAAGTATGGCGCAGATGCCAAGTATGACGCATGTACCAGGTGGCACGCGTGGAACCATCACGGTCGGGCTGCGGGTCGAGCAAGCGGACACTAATGGGCGAGTGGGTCGGGCGGGCGGCGGGTCGAGCGGGCGGAACATTAAAGTAGGACTCATGTGCACATCATGACGCATGTACCAGGTGGCACACGAACCCGAACCCTGTAACGCTGACCCTGACACCTGAAGCCGAACCCTCCCCCCCAGTTCTGACTCGAACGGAATCAACCGAACGCCCGAAACGGAACGCCCAAACCCGAGCCCCAACTCCGAATCGCAATACCCAAACACGAACAACGTGACCCGCACATCCGAGCCCGAACACCGAAATACGAACCCGAACATCCGAAGTCCAGGTAACCGCGCCGAAATGCCCGAGGGCCGAAAGCAGCAAAACCCGGAAACCTTGGACCCGGAAGGCCCCAGCAGCCGAAGGCCCGAATGCCTGAACATTCGGAAACACGAAAACTCGAATACCCAACTCGAGCCACACAACCCGCAGAAACCCGAACACCCGAAGTCCAGCTAACCGCACGCCCGAAACGGAAGCCCGAATGCCCCAACAGCCGGACGCGGAGCTGCCCTTTGCTGCGCCTGCCCCGCGCTCAGTGCAGGCTCTTGAACTGCCCGGTGGGTCGGCGGCCTCCAACTGGCCTGATGTGCTGGGGCGTCAACGTCTCCTGCTCGTCGGCCGGGAAGACTCCAGCCCCCGTGATGAGGTTTGGTAGCTGGGCGAGCGGCTCCGCGTCGCTGAGCCAGCCTAAGTGGCGTGGGTGGATCCCGCTAGATTGGCAGGTCTTGGCCTTGGACCCCGAAGGCCCCAACAGCCGGAAGCCCGAATGCCTGAACATTCGGAAACCCGAGGACTCGAATACCCAACTCGGGCCACCCAACCCGAGAAAATACCCTCGCACCCCGCAGAAAAACCCAACCCGAAAAAATACCCCCCCAACTCGAAAAAAAAACCGGCCAACCGAAAAAAAAAACGCGGAGGGTTTTGTTTCGTGTGGAGGCCGGTTTTTTTGTTTTGGGTTGGAGCTGAATACCGAAAAACAACCCTTTCAACCCGAAAAAAAACCCAGCTCCTCCGCGAGACCTCCATCGTCGTTGTGTGGGAGGTTTTCGGATGGTTCCAGCGTCGGCTCAGGAAGAAGTGTCGGCATGGCGCCTGGGAGGGAGGGGCCTGGGGACCGATTCTCAGAAGGTTCTTGCCGCGGAGACCCAAGCCTTCAGACATCCAGGTTCGCACAGGCTTTATGCACGTTTGGCCTTTCTTGTGCCTCTTGGGTGGCAAGGAGCCCTCGTCGCCACGGCCGAGTACGCCTGGAACTCCTGGTCGGAACGCGCTCCAGGAAAGGTCCAGGGGTCGGTTTGATGATGATGAGGAGGAGGAGGAGGAGGAGGAGGAGTAGGGCCAGTGTAAGCCCAAAATGCATCAACGATGTTGCATTAAACCGTCCCTCCAAGTTCCCTCGTCACAGGCCCCTGCAAGAATTTGTGCTCGTGTCGGCAAGTGCCCTTTTTTAAGACAAGCGTCTGTGAATCTGCAAGCGTGCCAAAACATTATTCCTGGGACTTCTGCGCCGCGAATCAACGTGACTGCTGCGTCCTGACAATCCTAAATCGCACAAAAACGCAATTCCTTGGATTTCTGCGCCTCGAATTCAAGTGACTGTTGCGTCCTGACAATCTTGAATCGTGCCAAAACACCACTCCTAGGACTTCAACGCCGCGAACACACATGACTCTTGCGTCCTGACTGTTGCGTCCTGACACCACTTCTGGGGCTCCAACCGTGCGGATAATTAAAACTTGTTGCGATTGTCCAAGGCGAATGTGCGCGGTGCTACGGCGAGAGCCGCATTTTGAATTGGAATCGCTCTCCATCCATAGAAGCGCTGCAAATTTCTAGCTCGAATGTGCACCCGCCCTCCATCGTTAAAACGGTTGCAAAGTTTTGAAACGAATGTGTGCGGCGCTGAAACGAGACCCACATTTTGAAAACGACCCGCCCTCCATCCGTGAAGTTGTTGCACATTTCAAGCTACGGTGGGGACGACTCAGGTGAGACGCCGGGCCAGCCTTACCGACACCCCTGGGGGCGCGACAGGGAGGAGTTATACATAAGGGAATGCGATGGAGAAGGACGATGAGAATGAGGAGGAGGAGGAGGAGAAGGAGGAGGGGAAGAAGAAGAAGAAGAAGAAGAAGACGACGGGTGAGGGGGGTTCGCGTGCGGGGGCCGCCGCTTTCGGGCTCCAGGAGCATCGAAGGACGATCTGCGGTGACCCCAGGGATGGGGTCGAGAGCTCTGGGGCCCCCCTGGAAGAGACGCGACGTCGGAGGTCTGGGCCAGGAGCTGCTGCAGGGGCTCTCTGACGGGTCCTTCCGGCTCGCGGCAGAGCTCCTCGAGAACGGGCACAGCCCGGACTATTGGGCTGGCGTGGCCTCGCAGTGGGCGGGGCTGCTGAACACCCACGCCTACCACGCTGCCGCCGTCGTGGCAGAGCCGCTCAGGGACACCGCCTGGCTGGCAGCGGCAGCCGACAGGGTGGGCAGTGCGGCCGGGCTCACGCCCGAGCGGCGGCTGTTGCTGGGGGGCACCGTGTCCCCCTACCTCTCGCGGGCCTGCGGCCTCGGAGTGCCGCTCGCGACGGGGGTGCTGGACGCGGCCGCCCAGCTCCTTGAGGCCACGCCCTGGTGGGTGCTGTGGCTCGCCCTCCTCGTTGCGTTGCCGCGCCGCGACCGAGCGCGCCCGCCGGCGAACGCCGCTGCGAACGGCGCGGCGAAGGCGAGGGGCTGCCTGGGCACCGTGGTCGCCGTCCTGGCAGGGGTGGCGGTGGCCGCCGCCGCCGCATTCCTCCGCCTGCAGCCGGGCAGTCTGGAGCTGAGCCTGCAGCAGCAGAGCGCGGTGCTCACCTTGGCGCTGTGCGTGGGGATGATCTCCTGGATCCTGGTGGTCGTCGGAGTGGCCTGCCAGGGCAGGCTGTGGTTGCGCGTGCCCTTGGCGGCGGTGCTCCCGCTGGGGCTGGCGTGGCATCTTCTGGCGCCCGAGGCCGCGTTCTGCGCGGCCCGTAGCCAGCGGTGCCGGCCCGTGCTCCCGGAGGACATCCTGCTGGCGCGGGAGAGGCGCGCCGGGAGCGAGCAGCTCCAGGCAGGTCCACACGAGCAGCTGACCGCCGTCGTGGACGCCCTGGCCAGGCTGAAGCCGAGGAGCTCGGGCCAGGCGAGCCGGCCCACGGTGCTGGCGGTCGGCGCGCACGAGCTCAAGGAGGACCTCGCGGACTTCGCCGCCCTCGGCGCGCTCAGCCCTCAGATGATCTTCGTCGAGCCGAACTCCAAGCACATCCCCGGCCTTGGGCGGTCCTTGGACATGATAGATGCACCTGCGAAGCACAGGAAGATCATCACAGCCGCCGCGTGCGAGGTGGACAAGAAGGAGGTCACTCTCTACACCAGCGTGCAAGCAGCGACGCGGGACTCTCTCGACAGGCACTACGTCTCCAGGCATTCCGACATGAAGCAGAAGAAGGTCAAGTGCATGTCGATGCCGTCGGTGTTCGCCGCTGCCGAAACTGCGGCGAGCGACATCGACATCGTCATCCTGGACGCAGAGGGGAGCGACTTCAAGATCCTGGACGCTCTGCTGAGGCTCCCCAGATTTGTGCCGCTGCTCGTGCGCTTCCCGTGCTGCTTCGGCTGGGAGGCCCGCGGCATCCCCGACGAGCTCGGCCACAAGGTGTCCGACCTTGCGGAGCGCGGCTACGACGTCTACCTGGACGGGGACGACGTGCTCGCAGTGCACGAAAGCGTCAGGGAGAATGTTTAGGGCATGCGGGGCCCGTTCCGCCACTGAGAGCGGGTCGTGCTGGGAGGCTGAGGTGGAGGAGGGGGCTGAGGCGGAGGAGATGGATGATCAGAGGAGGAAAACGTACAGACACCGCTACATGTCCATCATGTTGGCCTCTCTGGGCCTCCTGGGAGGCTCTCGTCGCCATGGATGGATTCGCTTCGAAATCCTGATCAGAACGCCCCAGGAGAGGCTTGGGGAGCAGCGCTATCGGTACGTTCTGGTTTCCTCAGAAAAGATGGCGCGTTGCATCCGCGGCCCCAGAGGTCTGGACCCCTTCCCTTGGGTCAGTTTTATATCCCAGATCCATGTTCGATGGTCGATGGGCCCGATAACGGGCCCCAGAGCCCGAAATCGAGTAACAACGCCAGGATTGGATTTAACGGATCGGAGGATGTCCGGATGGAGAAGGTGGAGGAGGAGGACAGGTTGCATCATGGCGTCTGCCCGCGGCCAGAGCGACCTATCCTGGAGTGCGTTCTGACCAGGGTGTTGAGGCGAATCAAGCCGTGGCGGCGATGGCCTCCCATGAGGCCTTGAGAGGCCAAAACGAGGGAAGAGTACATACGGTGGAGGCGTTCATTCAGGAATGTGCCCAGAAGCCTTCAGACCCTGGAGGATCTCTAATCCAATGAGGGCGGCGGTGATACCCATGGTCAACCCACGATTGGAGTTTCACCAGCTTCCAGACTCTGGACTCTTTGTCCAGTGGTTCCTTACCCAATGCCCTTACCGTAGCGGTACCGGCACCTTTTTCGGCGGCAAGCGCGAGGGGGAAGTGAGAAGGAGAAGCTTTTCTCAGAAGACGACGGGACTTCTCAGAAGCCTCCGCGCATTCCGAGAAGTTTTGTGCGTCTTCGGGGAAGGTTTAGAAATCTTTTCAGAAAGCCCGGGGACTTCCGAGCCTTCTGAGAAAGCCCGCCCCTTCTCACTTTCCCCCCGGCTCGCCGCCGACTTTTGGTTACAGACGGACCGAGGTACCAGATCGAGGTAGGTTCGGGGAGAGTACCCTAGTGTTCTTCGTGTTTGTTGGATGTTATCGTGCATCCTGGGGAGGGTACCCCTGGATGTTCTGTTTGTTTTGGCCGACGGAGGGTCTTATGTTCTTTAGGGATGTTCTTCTGGCCTGGGAGAGGAGGGGGGCACGCTGCATTGCGGTGTCTGCCCGCGGCCGGGAAGCGGCCTTATCCTTTTTGTTGCCCATTTTCCACGCCGCCTGCGGCGCGGTACAGGAGGCGAGCGCGCGCGGGCGGCGGGAGGCCGTGGAGTCGGCGTCCCGCTCGGAGAAGATGTTCTTGCTCCCAGGGCCCATGTCGATTTGATCGGTTCGATTCTAATATACTTATATGTATACATACATTCGGAAACTGAAACATATACGTTACCAGTGGCGGGCGGTTTTTCAATCCCAGAACTTCTTCGAGGGTCGGGGACGACGTGGGGGTGGTCTGGTGTATACTTGTTCCTCGTCTTCGCGGGGAAACAACGAAAAATGTATACACCAGGATCCCGTATGCACCAGGATCCGCGTTCCTGTGCGAACTTCAGCGCAGGGTCGGAAAAAAACGCCGGTGTGTAGAGTTCGTTTCCCTAGATAAACTTCAGCGCAGGGTCGGAACAAAAACGCCTGTGTATAGAGTTCGATTTCTTATATATAGATATAGAGAGAGAGATATATATATATATGTATAGATATAGCCTTCCGCACGCACCATGAAGCCCCAATTTGTGCGTCTTGTATACGAGCTCATATCTGAGTCTTACTGTGTTCGCACTCATGTTTGAGGCTTCTTGGAATGTTCCCCCCTTGGAGTACTCAACAGTCTCGGTCTCCAGCACAACACCAAATACTCATCAGGCTCCCTCTCGAAGCCGAACTTGAAAAAACAAAAAACAAAAAAACAAAAACAACAAAAGCATTGCGAAGAGCCCAACCATATGCAGTTGAGGGTATCGCCGTTGTGGGTATCGCCTTCGGTGGATCCCTGTATGGGGCCACGAAGCGTGTAAAGGGTGTGCCGAAATGGGGCGGGGACGCATTCGGGCGCAGCCATTGGGTCCTTGGGTGGCGCTCCATATGGGGCCACGAAATGTGTGAGGGTGTGCCGAAATGGAGCGGGGCCGCCTGCGAACGTCGCCACTGGGGCCTTCGGTGGAGCTCCCTATGGGGCCAAGAAACGTTGTACTGAGCGGGGGGAACGCATGCGAACATCGCCACTGGGGCCTTGGGTGGAGCTCCCTATGGGGCCACGAAACGCATGTGGACACCGCCACTGGGGCCTTGGGTGAAGCTCCGTATGGGGCCGCGAAACGCTGTATTGCGCGAGGAGGAAACGCATCCAGACACCGCCAATGGGGCCTTCGTTGGACCTCCGTATGGGGCCGCGAAACGCTGTAGTGGGTGGGGGAGATGCATGCGAATATCGCCACTAGGGCCTTCGGTGGAGCTCCCTATTGGGGCCACGAAACGTGTGAGTGGTGTCTTAAACTGGAGGGTGGTCGGCATGCGAACGCAGTCACTGGGGCCTTCGGTGGAGCTCCCTATTGGGGCCACGAAACGTGTGAGGGGTGTGCCAAAGAGGACAAGAGGCGGCAAGTGAACGCAGCCACTGGGGCCTTGGGTAGAGCTCCCTATGGGGCCACGAAACGTGTGAGCGGGGTGCCGAAGTGGACAGGAGGCGGCATTGCTTTGGCCGGCGGAGGGCTTTATGTTCTTGGAAGATGGTATTTTGGCCGAGGCCCGATTGTGTGTAAATATATGCATACATATAAACACATATACATATACATATTCATATACATATACATATACATATACATATGCATATACATATACATATACATATACATACACATACACATACACATACACATACACATACACATACACATACACATACATGCATACATACATACATACGTACGTACGTACGTACCTACGTACATACATACATACATAGAGATAGACAGATACACTTGTGTATATACACATATCGGAGTAGGCCAGGGGTGGGCCCAGAACCACGGCCACGGGTTGGCATGGGGGCACCGGGCGGCCGAAAGGTTCCCTGGCGGGACACTCAGGATTCTTGGACGGCTCCAGAGGCCGCCAGGACCGGCGCGAGACCGCCCTTGACGCCCCGCGAGCGCTCCAAGACGCACATGGGCGCTGGCCGAAATTTCGGCCGATTGAAATCACATTGCCGATTGGGGAAAGCGCCGATTTTGGCTTGATCCGTGGCCCAGGGGGGGCCCGAACCCTCGCATTCGCTTTTCTCGCCACTCCTAACAACGCCGGCTTCAAGAAGTCATGCTCGCGCGCATATGGAGCACATGTATACACACGTACATATATACATACATACAGATAAGTGTATGCATACACATATGCATCTTGGCATTTATATTACACCAGAGAAAACCACAAACTGTGGATGGTTTGGGGAACTATGTTCTGGATATTGAGATCGATTGTGACATCGGTAGTGGAGTCGATAGCGAGGACGATTGTAAGGTCGATCGTAAGACCGATAGTGAAGTCGATTCAATGACATCGATAGTGGGATCGATCGTGAGACCGCTCGTGAGATCTAGAGCGAGATCGATTGTGAGATCGATAGTGAGATCGATTGTGAGATCGATCGTGAGCTCGATAGAGAGGTGGATAATGAGATCGATGGTGACACCGATCGGTTGGAAAATCGACCAGGAACTCGGGAACCCGGGAGCCCCGCCGCTCACCGAAATCGGCCCGGAACCGGGAAACAAGGAACCCGGAACCAGGAACCCAGGAACCTTGCCGCCCACCGAAATCGGCCCGGAATTTTCGCCAAATCTTTGAATATTCGCTAGGACCCCTTCAGTGCAAGCATTGATTGGGGAACATACATACATATGAGGCGTCGTCCCAAAAACGGAATCGCCTTCGAGGGCCGATGGAGTTGCCATCTCTTCCTCGGCGGAAGGCGGCGGAAGGTCCGTGGACGGCGGCGGAGGTAAAACGAGGCTACATCCGCCGGCGGAGGCCAGTAAAAGGGAAAGATGCGTCCCCAAGAGATGGCAACATGTTAGGTTCAGGATTCCAGAATCGGCCGACATGTGTATGTGTGTATATATATACATGTATACAGATATTGGATGATTCGATTCAGTTAGATTGCTATTATCCGACGGTCGGATGCAGTTATGTGTTTGCATGGCGCGGTTGTTAATCGTGGCGCGGCAGGATCGATCCGATTTCGACTACGTGCCGATGCGGCCTGTTTCGATGCACGTTCCGATCCGAGCCGAGTTCCCGATTCGCTGCTGACCGTATCTGCCAACACGGAACGTCATGACAAAGCACCGCGCTGGTAAGAAGCACGAGCAGGATTCGTGGCACCGGCGCTGTATATGATGTTTTGGGCGAGCCAGGTCTCTCCGCGAGCGCCTTGCTTTATCCCTCTTTGTCTCCCTCCGCTCCTCCTCTTCCCCTCGCCACACCATTTTCCTCCTACCCCTCTCCGAATATTCGGTTTCCTGCCTAGGCCCCACCTCGGGACGGCCGATCCCGCGGCGAGACTAGAGTCCACAATGTTTCCACGTCTGTGTCCTACGCACCTCCCGGTGTCGAGGGAACGCTGACATGGATTAAGGATTAAGGCGCGTGGAGTAGCGACGGGTCCCGTTTCCATACGAAATCGGTGCGCGTTGTCGCCAATTGAGGCGACATTGGCCTCATGTGCTGTGGGTGCCTTACACGATCCATGTCAGTGTGCGCCCGAGGGTGTATGACCTGATCAGGTCTCTCCGCGAGGCCCCCCGAGGCCCGAAGGTTCTCTGCAGAGGCGGCCGTCGTCTGGTGCTGCCCCGCGGCGCACCGGCGCGAGGAGGCCCCCGTTCCAGGTTTAGGGGTGCTGTGCGGGAGGGAGAGGAGGGAGGAGGGGGAGGAAGGAGGAGGAGAAGCGGAGAAGCAGGAGGAGGAGAAAGGGGGGGAGGAT